ACTTTCATAGCACTGACATTTGAAAATACCTACCATAAGTCTTATACTATATTAAAGTCTTCCCACAATTTATTGCTTCAGCCTCAATGCAACAATGTCAGAAAAGGTCAGGAGAACCTATATCTGACTTCTATGACATGTTTGAAAAATGTAAATGCTATTCAGAAAGTCTTCTGTGAACTTTCAGGCTCATAAAGTGATGAGTTATTACATGTCTATTTTGTCAATTTGGTTCAACATCAGAATGCAATGTGGACCTTGCTGCCCACAGATACCCTCACCAATTTTTAAGAGCTATCACAAAAATGGGAAAGGGCATCAGCAACTTTTTATGTACAAACAGAGATCCTGGTTTCTATCCAAAGCCCTGAAAATATTGTCAAATAACATCAAAGCGTATGGCAGAGATTCTCCATTTTTCTGTAATCTGCCTACTTCATGTTTCCACCAGTATACTTGAAAAGCATGCTTTCCATTACTTTCCTTGTCCTGTTACAATAAAAAGTCTTAAATTGGCCTTTTCCCCAGAACGTGTTATTTATAGGGAGACCTAAATCTTTGTTCCCAGACCACAATCACTCATGTTTGGGTCCAGGATAAACCATCTGTTTATTCCTTTGATGCCAGAGCTCTTTCTTTTGCCCTTAACAGTTTTCTCCTTATCCTCTCCTCTCTATGGCAGGGGACACACTTATAAACAGTACTGCCAATGAATCTCACATTCCTCCTTTGCCAGTCCTTTTATGATATCTAGTTGAACTTCAGCTCAGAACAAAATAACTGTCAAGCACAGTGTGTATATAATTACATTATACAGAATAAAGCACAAATGCACTCTTACAACATAGAATGTACATTGCCATTATCATTGTAGTAGTACCAGATGTTGCATATGTAATTCTACATGCTATTTGATTTATGCATTTAAAATGTGTTTATAGATGAGCATTATGATGATTTTACCTTTTTGTCTTTTATTTCTGTTTTGGTTTTGGTTTTATTTCTTTGGTTGGTTGGTTGGTTGGTTGGTTGGTTGGTTGGTTGGTTGGTTGATTGGTTGCGTTTGTTGATTGGTTGCGTTTGTTGTTGGTATTGTTGTTTGGAGTTTTGAGTTATTTTTTCCAGAACACAGCTAGCACTGTGTCACCTAGGCAGGTGTCAAGTGATGCCCCTATCCCAACATTGCAGAGAGCATATATTTAAGAGTGTGACTGTGACCAGCTAGTGATACTGAATTTGATTTCTTAAAAGACAGAAATCAGTGTCAGATTTCATACTTTCTATCATTTCTGTCTTTAGAAAAGAGAATATCTAAGAGCAAGTTTATGCTTAGATAATCTAGTACTAAAATGGGTATTCAGCATTAGTCAGCACAAGTTAGCTGATATCAAATGTGTAGGTAAAGCCCAAAAGAATAATAATCTTTTATATACCTCTTTTTCACTGAGTGCCACTTTTGTATGATTCTAGGTTAATAGGACTGTGATACCAGAGAACCTCATCTTTGCCTCCCCTTTGCCTTATTGGCTATAGATGTGTGTGTACAGGGCTTGTGTGCCCACTTCTATGAAGCCTATATGCTACTCACCTATGTGTGGTCCTTGAGTACCAGAACATACTTGGGTTCCTAGTGGTATATACCTGCCCTGAAGCCTTCATCAAGAGTGAACAAAGTATGTCTGTTTAGTCTGCCATTCCTCATACTCTCATCAGCTTCCTTGACCTTCTTCCTTTCCTGTAGTCAGATCACTGACTTCACAACCTGACACTTCTTCAAATGCAAAATAGTCTCACAGAGACAAATAAAACACACAAAACAAAAACTCTCATTTGCCTATTAACAAATGGCAGGAAAGCATTCAGTCTGGAGCATCTTGTAGACAAGCTAAGACAGGAGCAACTGGAGAGAACTCCATGAAGACATTTCAGATTCTACCACAAATAATTTTTGAAATATATTTAAGTCTTTAAGGAAAGAGGATAAAACCGCTCCTTTATTGAGCAGCCAATAGATTGGCATCTTGAACAGCTTCAGCAGAAGCCATTTTAAAGATCTTAAAAGATGTTGGGTGCAATGGAAGGTGTCCTCCTTTCCGTTGCAACTAGTGAGGCTGTGCTGGGCATTGCAGGGAACACATTCATTGCACTTGTGAACTTCATGGACTGTACCAGGAACAAGAAGCTTTCTAGCATTGGCTTCATTCTCACCGGCTTGGCAATTTCCAGAATTTGCCTTGTGGGGCTCTTAATCACAGAGGCATACATGAAAATATTCTCTCCACAATTGCTGTCTCCTATCAACATAGTTGAACTCAACAGTTATCTATGGATAATTCTCGGTCAATTGAATGTCTGGTTTGCCACCAGTCTCAGTATCTTTTATTTCCTGAAGATAGCAAATTTTTCCCACTACATATTTCTCTGGTTAAAAAGAAGAATTAATACAGTACTTATCTTCCTGATAGGGTGTTTGCTTATGTCATGTCTGTTTTCTTTCCAAGTAGTTGTGAAGATGGTTAAAGACTGTAAAATTCTGTATGTAAACACATCTTGGCAGATCCACATGAAGAAAAATGAATTGATCGTAAAGTATGTTTTCACCAATGGGGGAGTATTCTCATTCTCTATGATAATGTTAATTGTATGTTTTCTCTTAATCATTTCCCTTTGGAGACACAGAAAGAGGATGCAATCAAATGAATCAGGATTCAGAGATCTCAACACAGAAGTTCATGTGAAAACAATAAAAGTTTTATTATCTTTTATTATCCTCTTTATACTGCATTTCATGGGTATTACCATCAGTGTAATTTGTCTGTTAATTCCAGAAAGCAACCTGTTATTCATGTTTGGTTTGACAATAGCATTCATCTATCCCTGCTGTCACTCATTTATCCTAATCCTAGCAAACAGTCAACTGAAGCAAAGCTCTGTAAGGATGCTGCAGCGATTAAAGTGCTCTGAGAAAGGAAACAGACTCAGAGGCACATGTCAGCCTGGAAGAGAAACAATCTGGAATAGTCAGCAGAAAAATCTCTGTGGATCCTTTCACTTGCACTATGTTCTTTTATTGATTTGGCATCATTAACAAACACAGTTGGAATAGTCTTCTGCCTCTCGAGGAAGCACACTACCAGGTGGGATTTTAATTCCATGTACCGGTTCATTTGTACAGTCAGTCTCCTGACTCTTTCATCTCTTCCTGTATGTCTTCCAAAGGAAAAACATCGACTATAGACCATCCCATGTAAAGAAAGATTTCATGGTGTGCCTAACATCCAAAATAACACTGCATTGCTATTCCTTTGGCTTTCCTGTGCCACTGACTCCCTTTCCCCAGGAGACTCAAAGAAAAGGAGAGCAAGACCATGTTACAATCAATCTGGACATTTGCAAAATGAAACTTTTGTGTACATTTTTACGTTTTACAAAGTTTCCTTTATTTTTACGCACTAAACCACAACATTCATGTTACATTAAGTATTTGATATAGTACCATTGTTATAATAGTGGATTCAACTCTGATAAATAGCTAGAAAAATTGTCATAGGACAATAGATCAGAAGAATTATGAAATGATTCTTCATAATGATCAATGTCAGTGACACTATCACACAAAATTGGACAGGGAGGGTGCCCCCTAAAATAAACAACCTGTTTCCATTATTCTTGTTTACTCACTAGGTTTTAAAAGACCTTACTTAGGAAAAGAAGACAATCTTAAGGACACAGGACACTGAAGATGATACTTATACTGATCACCACGGGAAAGAAAATGATTATATACTCCTGATAATACTGTATAATTAAGCCACTAACAAGGTAAATCAGCAAAGAAAATAGATAGTTGAGTTAAGAGACAGCCTAAAGAGTAAGAGGAAATCTTCATTGCCTAATCATATATTCAACACAGGATTAATATTTATTATATGTGGCAAGTTCAAAATATCAAATTCCAACAAACCCAATCAATAAATATGCTAATGGGATGAACAAATAGTTCTAAAAAAGACACAAATGCCCATCAATATTTCAAAAATTGTTCAACACCCTTGTCTATATAGGAAATACAAATTAAAATTATTTTGGAATTTCCTCTCAACCCAGGCAGAGTGGCTGTAATCAAGAACACAAATTACAACAAATGCTGACAAAGACATTGGAGAAAGGGGTTCTTTTACCCTGCTAATGGGAATGTAACTTATTATAGTGGAAGTTTGTAAATATTAAAATCATGACATACTTGATTTAAAAAATCTTTATGAAACCTATCACTAAGTACAATTATTCATAGATACAACTTTTTTATTCTGAAACTTACCATACCTAAAAAAGAACTTACATTTTTATTAAACATTAAATCAATAGTCTAGAGTAAAGTGTTTATATTTTTCTATAGTATTTATTTGTACACTCAGGTTATGTCTATGAACAATAAAATTATGATGGCTTCTCACTCTTCATTTTCATTCTTTCTTTGTCCTTTTAGTTTTACAGGTATGGAATTTATTTTTCTTCAGAAGAGTGCTGTGGTTTAGCTAGGTGAACTCCCAGGCTAAAGTGGTGCAATATTTCACCTCTTGAGGAGCTGGTAGGTGTTCTTACCTTGCACAACTCAAGATGATGATTTCATATTTAAAACATAAAATTAAATGTTATTCCATTTGCTAAATTTCATCCTGTTTATATCAGCCACTTCTACTCAACTACTATGCAAAATAGAATCAAAGGGGAAATTATAATACAAGAAATGGAAACCATCATTTGCTTATAAGAAAATTACAAGAGATTTATTCTGCATATATTCTGTAGACAAGATGAGTCTTACAGGGCTACTGGACAAAACTCTGTGAAAACCCTGAAGATTCACCTGCAACATATTTTCCTTTATTTTTAAATCCTTTATTTAAGGAAAGAAGAAAAAAATCTATCGATATAGAGGACACTCTGCAGCAGATATAGTATAGTTTCAACAAATACAACGTTAGGGACCTGCAGAGATGCTGAGTGCAGCAGAAGGCATCCTCCTTTCTATTGCAACTGTTCAAGCCAGTATGGGAGTTTTAGGGAACACATTTATTGCAATTATAAACTGCATGAACTGGGCCAAGAACAAGAAGCTCTCTAAGATTGGATTCCTTCTCATTGGTTTGGCAACTTCCAGGATTTTTATTATATGGATATTAACTTTAGATGCATATGCAAAACTGTTCTACCAAAGTAAGTATTTGTCTGACCTTCCCACTGAAATTGTCTCTTATATATGGATGACTGTGAATCACCTGAATGTCTGGTTCGCCACCAGTCTCAGCATCTTCTATTTCCTGAAGATAGGAAATTTTTCCCACTGTATATTTCTCTGGTTGAAGAGGAGAACTGATAAAGTTTTTGTCATTCTGATGGGGTGTTTGCTAATTTCTTGGGTAATCTCTTTCTCATTTGCTGTGAAGGTGATGAAGAACAATAAAGTGAATCATAGAAACAGGACCTCAGAGACGAACTGGAAGAAAAGAGAATTCTCAGTGAACTATATTTTAATCAATATTGGAATCATTTCTCTCCTTACGATGACCTTAACTGCCTGTTTCTTGTTGATTATTTCACTTTGGAGACACAGCAGGCAGATGCAGTCTAATGTTTCAGGATTCAGAGACCTTAACACAGAAGTTCATGTGAAAGCCATAAAATTTTTAACTTCATTTATCATCCTTTTCATATTGTATTTTATAGGTGTTTCAATAGAAATTATCTGCCTGTTTATCCCAGAAAACAAACTGCTATTTACTTTTGGTTTCACAACTGCATCTGTATATCCCTGCTGTCATTCATTTATTCTAATTGTAACAAACAGCCAGTTGAAACAAGCCTTGGTAAAGGTACTGCAGGGATTAAAGTTCTCTGAGAAAGGAAAATATCTAAGGGCCACATGGCTCTGGAACAGAAATGGTTAGTCTGGAATAATAATAAGGAAATCATAGAAGGTCTTTTTCATTTGTACAGTGTTCTTGCATTGTGTTTGGGGAAGTGTAAACTCCTCTTTTATTTTTATTTTTTATTCTATGTGAACATATGTGTGTGTGTGAGTATCTCTGTGTATGTGTTTGTGTGTGTGTGTGTGTGTGTGTATATGTGTGTGTGTGTATCTCTGTGTATGTATGTGTTTGTGTGTGTGTATGGAGAGGTGTTAGGAGATGTAAGAGGGAATAGATTTGTTGGTGTTATTTTTAACATTGATATTCACAGGCCAAGGAACTGGTTCTCTACTTTAACCTTAGAGTAGGGTCTCTCCTTTGTGGCTGTCATTTTGACAGTCCAGACTAGATGAACTACGAACTTTCAGCCAGTTCACCTGTCTAAACATCCCTTCTCATGGAAGCAGTGTTGGGATTACAGATGCATGCTACTCCATACAGCTTTTTAACATGGAACTCATGTCATATGGTATGCACACCAATCATTTTTATCTACCAATCTCTCTTGCTAGCCCATTTCTATTGACTTCCAACTGTAGTGTTAAACTTTACTGAAATCTTCTGCAACAATTCTGACTATGTCTCTTAGAATCTCACTCTATGGTGGGATTTTAATGTCATGTGAAAATTTGATGTTTCAGTTAGGTTCCTACCAATTTCCTACCAAATCTTTCTCATACACTTGGTAGAAGAAAATCATCAACCTGCAGACTACTTCAAGTAAACACTTCTACAGATAGAATAAATGTCTGAAACAAGACCTCATTGCAATTAACCTGATTTTCCCCAGAGTACAGATACCCTTTCTCAAAGACTCACAAAGGAATTTAGGCAGAGAGTTGTCACTCTTGACATTTACCACTTGAAACTGAAGAACAGAGAGGGGTGTAACTACTTACAGTTGCTTTACTTCATCCATTAAGCTCCATAGTGTTTATTACTAGTAGATATTTGATGAAGCAACAATGGTTATAAGAGTGGATGCGGCTCTATGACAAATATCTAGAGAAGCAGACAATGTGTGGAAGATGGATAAAAGCCATGACAAAAGAAGTCTTCAGGGTGTTCAACCCCAGGGGTATTTGAAATGAAGCACCCAGAAATACATTAGAGCTGAGGAGAGGTTGTCCTGAAGAAAACATCCAAAGACACAGTGTCTGGCCAAAGCAGAAAATAGTGGACCAAGTCCAGGACTTGAGTGGAGTAGACAATGTCCTGTTAAGGGTTTAGAACAAATATACACATATTATCATTCATATCCAGAAATCCACAGGCATGTTTGAACTGTTGATTTCTCAATAATCAATTCCTAAACTTTTTTGTTTTAGAATGAAAACGTGTATCATCACTCCTGAGCTCCCAGCATAGTCTGAAGAGGCTAAGGGACATACCAAGAGGACCTGGGAGAGGGAGTGTCTACCTGATCTATCAGACCCTAAAGTCACGTATCCCAACACAAAGCTACTGCTTAGTTTGGTTCTGAACAGATCAGTGAAAAAATCTTGAGCTGAAGAGAGTCTAACTCTCCCACCAGCATGTGTGCGCTCACATACAAAAATAAATAATTTTTTTAAAAACTCTCATTGGTGGTTTTTCCATTTATATCATTAGTTTGATTTTTACTATAAAATAAGGCAGCTTCCATTATACTAATCTTAGAAACAAAATGCTAAAAATAAAAAAAAATCTTTAAAAAGCACTTAAATACAAACTCTTGCAATACTTAACTCTACATGTTTAATGTTTCTGTATAAATTTTATGATAGATACATGATATGCAGTGACAGATTCACAGATGTTCAGTGATAGCTGTAAGAAATATATCACTAATACTTAGAAACTTTTTCTTTCATTTTTGTATAGACTGGATAAATAGGTCCTTTATCTCTGTATAATGAGTACAGGTGCTTTGGGTTTTCTTTTTTAATGCTTTGTAAATTCTGAAATTCTGGGCTGTAGAGATTACTCAGTAGTTAAGAGCACTGACTGCTCTTCCAGAGGTCCTGAGTTCAATTCCCAGCAACCACATGATTGCTTACAATCTGTAATGTGATCTGATACCCTCTTCTGGTGTGTCTGAAGACAATGACAGTGTACTAACATGCACAAAATGAATAAAATCTTTTTAAAAATTTTAATTCCCTTGCAATAATTCTTTTTTTTTCTTTTTTAAAATTTACTTATTTATTTATTCATTCATTTATTTATTGACACTATATATTTTATTCCCCCTTCTCCACCCTCTGACTGTTCCACGTCCCATACCTCCAACCCACCCATCTGTCTCCGTGGAGCTTTTCTCACTCCCCACCCCCACCCCACCTTGTTGTGCAGGGTCGTGGGCGGTTTTGTAGGGCACAGGCGGCATAAGCAGCAGGTGTCCTGGACACCGTGGCTCAGAGAGAGCTGGTGGGGCACGGAGCTCCGCTCCGAGACTGTCTGGGAAGCCAGGGCTGCAGCAGTGCAAGGCTCTGGCAGGAGAGAGCGAGAGTTTGACTGTGAGCTAGAGCACAGCGCACTTTTCAGTCACGGGGCAGGGCCGGTGTAGCCTCTCGAATCGCGTCTACAGCAGCCTTGGATAGCTGGGCCCGAGAGGACGAAGGGGGGACAGACTGGAGAGTCTGCCTCTGTCCCAGCCTCCAAAGGCAGGCAAATGTTACAGCTCTTTAGGTTCCCTCTTTCCGAGGGCAGCTCGGGAGTGCCCACAGAAGGAAAAGTGTTACAGCTCTGCCCACAGGGAGGAGAGAAGTGTTGTCATCCTTTGAAATGCACAGGATAGCCAGCGACTGGCGAGGAATCGTGAAAAAGCACTCCGACAGCAGGAAGGTCTCACATTACACAACACCTTTATTTTTGAGCTCCGGGGGATATATACAGTTTTGGGGGGAGAGCAGGTAGCTTCTATTGGTTTGGTTTGGTTTGAGAGCTTGGGAATGCCTTATTTGCATGGAGGTGTTATTCCTACGTGATCAAGGACATGGACCTCTCCATAGGAGGGGTTGTGGGGAGTGGAAGCTAAGAGAGCCATATGGATTTGGGAAAGTTTGAAGCAGCCTCCCGTCCTACTGGCCCTCTTCAGACCAAGGTTCCTGGGGCTTCAGATCTTTCTACCAAGCTTTCTGGCTTTTTCTCATAGCCCACTGCCCCACACCACCTGACCTTTAAACTCCCTGGGGCCTCTAGTCAGTTGAGGGTTAGGTGCATCTTCTCTGACTGAAACAGACCCAACAATCCTCTGCTGTATATGTGTTGGGGGCCTCATATCACCTGGCATAGGCTGCCATTTTGGTGGTCCAGTGTTTGAGAGATCTCAGGAGTCCAGATTAATTGTGACTGCTGTTCCTCCTACAGGGTTGTCCTCTTCCTCAGCTTCTTTCAGCCTTTCCCTAATTCAACCACAGAGGTCAGGAACTTCTGTCCATTGCTTGGGTGCAAATACCTGTATCTGACTCTTTCAGCCGCTTGTGGGTCTTCCAGAGGGCAGTCATGATAGGTCCATTTCTGTCAGCAATCCAGAGCCACAAGAATAGTATCAGGCCTTGGGACCTCCACTTGAGCTGTATCCCATGTTAGGCCTGTCACCGGACCTTTTTATCCTCAGGCTCCTCTCCATTTCCATCCCTGCAGTTCTTTCAAACAGAAACAATTGTGGGTCAGAGTTTTGACTGCAGGATGGCAACCCTTTCTCTCATTTGATGCTCTGTCTTCCTGCTGGAGGTTGACTTGGCTCTCATTTATTTTTTAATTACATTTTGAACCTGGTTTCATTAGAACTTTATGTATAGTAGGCCCTTGAGTTCATATTCACAGTGTATCTTCCCAACTTAACTTATAAAGGAAGGTTGTGAATGTTTCCAGTCTTGGCCTTCTTTAAAATTAAATTTGAAATTTTTCTTACCTATTTCTAAACTCCCCCATGCTACATTTTGAATGGTTTGTGGTCAAAGGTTTTGAGAATTTTTAAAAATACTGATATAAAAAATAAAATAAAAATTGGATATAAAAGTTTCTACAATGAAACACATGTGAAAAAATTCTTATCTTAATCATATTAAACTTATAAATATAGGACACAATGTAGGGAGTGGTTCTAACGCTACGGTCCTGTTCCCCAGTTGGTTCTTGATCCATCAATAAAGATGCTAGTGGCTAATGAGCTGGGCAGAAGAGGCAGGACTTCCAAGTCCCCACAAGCAAGTTAGAAGACACAGGGGAGAGAGGAGGATTTTCACCATGCTTCAGAGGGAGAAAAGGTGATCAGCCATGTGAGATCTCAGGGCAGAGTGGCCACAGACCATTTCCCCTGGTGGAAGATTAGAAATACAACTAAAGCTGAAGGTAGTTTTGGATTGCTGAACAAAGAGAAGGTAAATGAGCAATTAAAGTTGAAGACAGATTTAGGGGGCTGAGCTAAGAGTATTGGGAAGAGCATGATAGCCATGGGAGATTAGAAGCACCCCACAATTGAGCCATAAGTTAGGTTGAAAATTAAGTTAATGTATGTGTGTATGTTTCATCTGTGGATTGGAGGGGTGGGGCTGGCAGATCAGTTGACCCAGAGCTTAAAGGAGGCTAGCAGAAACTACACGCTACACCAATGGCAATATAGATGTCTGTGGTCTATGCTGCATCCTGAAACTACGCTGTTGTTGTGGGCCATGCTTCTTCCAAGGGCCATGCTGATCTGGGTAGCCTACACTGCCACCTAGGTCCATAGTGATATCTGGGCCAGCGCAGCTGCAGAGTGGCATGTCCCGTTGCCTGAAGTGATTTTAGCTTCAAGGAGTATTTTATATGTGATAGTATTTACAGCATGTGTCTTTAGCAAATGAGCAGAGAAGTGTCAATATTTTATATTGATAAAGAATATTAAAATGGGTAGTTTTGAAAATTTGCTGCCAAAATGTCCAGAGAGGAGGGATATAGTTAAAAGACTGTGAGGGAAATAGTTAACTCCTTTCTAAGCCTGCTCCAGTCTG